GGTCCCCTTGGAGGGCAAGACATCACGGGTCAACCCGGTCAAGCCCACAAAGCGGACCACTAATATCCTTCCACCGAAAACAAAACACATCAAACAAACGCCAACTCACATGAACTGTAATTACACTAGCCAGTATCGTTCCAATTCTAACGGATGTCCCAAAGGACAATTCAGGATTTTTATATATATATATTTTTTTTCTGAAAAAGAGAGCAACCTTCCCGTCATGATCCGGCCACTCCGACCAGGTTCATGCCGAGGTTGTGTTTTCATTATAGAAGCCGGAAAGTGGGTCCGGCGTCCCTCACATCCAAAACAGAGTTCATGGCCAAATATCAAATTGCCAAACTCACATCTATTGCCAAGCCACCATCAACTTCTGTATGCTATGCTCCGCTCCTCATCCGAAAACAGCTGAAAACGCTATGGCCAGACGGGAAAAAGTATTAAAAAGGAAACCCTAATCTAAACCTTGAGCGACCTGTGGAAAACGGAAAAAAGTACGAAAAGAGAAACCCGAATCTAAGTCTAACCCACGAGCAACCTGGGGAAAAAGCACAAGTGACCTAGAGAAAAGCAAAGTGTAGGCAAAGGGAATTCCAATGGAAGCAGCCCAGATGGTCTATTCGCGAAAACGAAAGACGAGTCCACAACATTTTGATTGCACCAGGATTCGAATTTCGGTCGGTTTTTCAACAGTTGATGGGGTGTACGACGAACTATGCGATACTTGATGGAAAGGAGTACAAAACTCAAACTGCTCATAAGCTCAAGCCGTGTTGTCCGGCTTATGGTGGGTGTGGTTTGCCCGGACAATCCCGTGAGAAGAATGAAAGCACTAGGTCTGCTGAGAGACCTACTTCAGGCCATGCAGTGGGGACAGGAGACCCAGCGCACGAGGTTTGGATGTACACGTACTGGATATTAGGGGAAGAGGACAGGATAGTAGGATGAGTAAGGGAGAGACAAGGTGAAACCGAGTGGGGCCCTAGACGCCTAAATTCATGGACACCACCAAAGAGAGCACTGGTGGGGCCAATAATTCCTCCCCTCAGCAGGTAGCCCAAGACGAAGAGGTTCGGCAACCACACACCCAGGGAGATATCTCTCTCAGGACTGATTCTTTGAGTGTCTAGCCTAGGCAGGGGCAGCAATAGAGCCCACCTGTGGTTATGGATGTAGTGCAGCCATGGCAGACACCCCACCACAGGAAAGGTGGTAACACAAAGGAAGGAAAAAACTAGGGTGGTGCTTCTCTGCGTGGTCTGGTGTTGCCAGAGTGAGGAAGTCAGAGGGGGGGTTGTATCATCCTCTGCTAAGACATGTGATGCGTATGCAAAGGAGAATCTTCCGATTGCCATCCAAGCTGACTTCAATGGGGAACGCCGAAGGTTGGAGCCTGCTGCCCATGGCAAGGGACACTGTCGAGTGTACATGGGGGATCTATCAAGAACACCTGGGGACCTGTCGACCACACAGGTCCCCAGGTGCTCAACAGCTCTGCTGTTTGGGTCAATGTGAGGTCCTTTTCCAGCCATGCCCAAGCCCGAGGAGAGGATGGATTGTCTGCGCTTTAGAGATAAGCACCCGGGAAGCGGGGTGGTGGGCTGAGCTGAGTGGAGGTCGCGTATCACGAGTTGGGGATAGGAAGAGGGGAGGCTTTTTGCATTTTTTTTTTTGAAGTTTTAAGATTGGATGTAACCTCAGAGGATTATGAGGGTTTTGGTATAGGCAGCTGTATAGGATGGGGAAGGGAACAAGATGTGAAGTGGCAGGGATGTGCAACGGAACCTTAGACAGGAGCAGAGAGCGCATGAATTGCTATGTGGGATAAAGAGGGGATGAAGATGACTCACGAACGGAAAGGGTACGGGACATGGAATATGAACTGATTGATTAAACCACCAGTACTTGCCACTTGGCCCATACATTGGCCGTGGCACTTCCCCGTTAACGGGATGCACCTTTAGGGCTTCGGGTACTGGACCACAATGGATGGACACACCAACCAAAATGAAAACAAAACGTTGCGCTGGCGGTTCGTCAAAACTTGGCGAGCAGGGTGCTCAGAGGCTCGACATCGATAGTTGGGCCACGTACTGCTGGTTTAAGGGAAAAGGTTATGGAAAATGCATTAATGGGCTACTGTAACGGAAAATGAACTTATGGGGCTGGCACTGGAACTGACTGGGTACGGAAAATAAACTTCTTACGGGACCAGCACTGTAACGGAATGGGTATAAAGGATGGTAATAATGGAAACACTTAAAGGGGAAGGTAGTCAATCAATG